TCCAGATCTTCCCCTATCTGGATGACTGGCTGGTCAAGGGCAGCTCCCGGTCACAAGTGCGGGATCACATGGCGTTCCTTCTGCCCACGTGCACCACTTTGGGCCTGTTGGTAAATGACACCAAGTCCACGTTAGTCCCGGTACAACGCATAGAGTTTATCAGGGCGGTCCTGGATGCCACGTCAGCCAGAGCCTCCCTCCATGGGACAGGTTTGAGACACTGAAAGGGCTCTGTAGCGAGGCGACGACTCACCTGTGCAGCACCTCCTGCTGGTCATCCTGGGAATTAGCTTTCCAGCCTCCGGAGCGCCCTCTGCAGGTCAGCTGATGTCTTGCCTGCTGCTGGCCCCGTGTCCCTCCTGGACCCCGGTGCCTCTTTGCCTTGTGTGCTGCCCCCTGGCAGTGTCCCCACACTTTGGGTCTCCTCTCCCTGGGGAACCCCTAACCCCCATCCACACCTCGCCTCAGTGGCTGTTGCCAGTCACCATCTAGCCCCTGCTCACTGTGGCGGAACTGCAATCTGTAAACCACTCATCACTGGCAAGGGGGATTTGGACCTGCTGCCTTTGCCTGCCCTGGGCTGCATCTCTGCAACCCCAGTACCTTTCCCGGCCTTTAGCAAGTCCTGCAGCCTGGGGGTTTTCCAGGCTGGAGCTCCCTAGCTCCTCTGGCCTTCCCCCAGCTCTGCTCCTCTCTAGATACCCTGCTCAGTCTCCCAGACAGCCAGGCCCGTCTCTCTCCACAGCTAGCGAGAGACTCTTCCAGCTCCTGGCTCACTGGCCTTTTATAGGGCCAGCTGTGGCCTGATTGGGGCATGGCCCCAGCTGTGGCTGCTTCCCCAAACAGCCTAGCCTATTGGCTCCCAGGGGCAGCCCTTTCTCAGGGCTGTTTTAACCCCTTCAGGGCCGGAGCGGGGTAACTGTCCCGCTACAGGCTCACGCCAGAGCGTGCCTCCAGCTCTTGGGTTACATGTCGGCGTGCACATATGTGGTCCGCCATGCCAGACTCAGGATGAGGCCCCTCCAGCTCCGGTTGGCCTCTGCGTTCTCTCAGGCCAGAGACAGGATGGACAAAGTCCTCACTGTGCCCGAACCAGTGATCACCTCCCTACCATGATGGTCCTCCCCCGGGAACATGCTTCACGGGGTCACACAGAAATGATAATGACGCTAGTTTGGAGTTTAAGGTATTAACACATTTTATAACTTTGTGGTTAGAAACACACAATTAAAGTCAGCATAAAAGTATTCCAAAACTTATAACACACACAAATAAATATAGAAGTGTTACTTCTAGGGGAATTCTGTGCCAAAAACCAAAAAATTCTGTGCACAATATTTCAGAATTCTGCAAAATTCTGCATATTTTATTTGTCAAAATAACACAATATAATCATGCCAGTTTCAAGTATTTTGGTAATTTATTTCACAATACCTGTCAGCAAGTATGTCTTTACAATACAGAAAAAAAAAGTAAAAGATTCAGGAAAAGTTTTTTTTGACAGATTCCTTACTAGGTATATTAATACAGAACTTTGAGTAATTCATTTAAACTACAGCTGGCTGTTCTGGCACCACAGTGGCCTGTGGTGGGTGAAAGGTGGAATTGCAGCACTTTTTGAGCAGAATGTATTTTCTGCAGGGAGGAGATGAATTCTGTGTCAGACATGAATTCTGCATGTGCGCAGTGATGCAGAATTCCCCCAGGGGTAAAGTGTGATTTGAGATTTTCTCACTCTCACCAGATGCTTCTCTCACCAGCAGGGTAATTCTCACTCATACATGGAAAGACAGCACAGCAGGAGTGCGGGGAGAGTGAGTGTATGAAAAATACAGGGCAGAGCAGAACATTGATTAACAAAGTTACTAGTTCTCAGTAGTACTTAAACTTAAACAAAACAAAAATTAAACATCAAACAATGAATTTTCACAGAGCTCTAACAGTGTATAGTACAGTTCCAGATTCTTGAACATACATAACAAGACAGTTACGAGCTCAAGGTCAGTTCTTTAAGCAACAGCAAAATAGCTTTGGTAAGCTAGTAATGTTAGATCAGCCTTAACATATGAAAATTCAAATTTTATTTCCTCACAATTACTATGTGCTCTGGATGAAAAACAGACAATTGAATTTAGGCACAAGTACTTAGTTACAAGGCATTAGGTTAAATCCTGTAAATCAGTCCAATTGTGATTCATAGGAGACTATTTCAAATCTTAAGCCTACTTTAAGGCTCTATTCCTTTACTATTGCTAGTATAATCTTTTTTGGTAATTATGTGGAATCCTAATTTCTTGATAGTATCTATGGAAGTGAATTTTATTAATCTGGAATTGCAAGTCAAGGACCCAGAACAATGGTCTGGATTTCTGGAACAAGAATCTGAACTACAAGGTTCAGGATTCTAGAAAGGCAATATTTTCATTCTCCAAGGCCAAATTCTGACTTTTCAATCTTCCTATACATTAGAGCCAAGTGGGATTTATCTCATTTTTCCTTTTGTTGTTCTGGTGTGGTGATGATTTCTTCTTGATATCTTTGAGCTTCAGGAAAGCACTTTCTTTCCTAAGGCTACTTATATTTGAGACTTTAGTCCTTGAAGGGTCTAAAACCCAGGTTCTTGTTCATAAAGGATTTTTAGTTAAAAGATACTCTCCTGGAAAAGCAAAATCACTGAACACTGAGAATTCTAGTAACTAGTATTTGTCCGTGCCTGTGCCCTTTCTCTACTTGTGCTTCATGCCAAAGATATAAGGCAGTGGTTCTCAACCAGGGGTTCACGTACCCCTGGGAGTATGCAGAGGTCTTCCATGGGGTACAGCAACTCATCTAGATGTTTACCTAGTTTTACAACAGGCTACAGAAAAAGCAATAGCAAAGTCAGTAAAAACTAAAATTTCATACAGACAATGACTTGTTTATACTGTTATATATACGGTACACTGAAATGTAAATACAATATTTATATTCCAATTGATTTATTTAATAATTATATGGTAAAAATGAGAAAGTAAGCAATTTGTCAGTAATAGTGTGCTGTGACACTTTTTAATTTTTATGTCTGATTTTGTAAGCAAGTAGTTTTTAAGTGAAGTAAAACTTGGGGTACGCAGACAAATCAGAATCCTGAAAGGGGCACAGTAGTCTGGAAAGGTTGAGAGCCACTGTTATAAGAACCCAGAATTTGCTGGCAGACAGCTTCAGCAGGCACTTTGCCACTGACCATGAGTGGGAGTTACACAGCCCAGTGGTGAACAGCATCTTCACTCAGTGTGGAACACCTACCCGGGATCTGTTCTTCTTCTAGACAAACAGGAAGTGCATTTTGTACTGTTCCAGGAAAGCTCGGGGCCAATTCTTCTTCTGGGGTGATGCTCTCCTGCTCCCTTCGACAGAACACTTGAACTTTGTCTTTCCTTTTATCCCACTGCTTCCTCAAGTACCGTGGAAGATTTGACAGGACAGAGAACAAGTTATTCTCATCATGTCCAAATGGCCCAGGCAGATCTGATTCCCAGGTCCGCATAAGTCAGCTTGGCTACTCATCATCATTCATCCCTTTCCACACCAATGTCAGACATCCTGTCCCGGAAGCTCTTCACAGTTTGGTATTTGGATGGATGTCGGACCTATAACCTTCCTGTTCTGAAACTGTTTAAGATATACTTACTAATAGTAGATATTTGCAAGGCAGCAATGAGGAGTTCCATCCACACATTCACAAGACATGACACCTTGGTCCAAGCCTCCTGTCCTGATGCATTTGTTGAGACCTCAGTTATTACAGATAGCCATATCAACTGCATCCTTACACCCTCCTCTTATGTGAGTACTGCTGGTCAGTCACCCACAGTGGAATATACGTAAGGACCAGACTTTGAAGAAGAAAAGGAAGTTACTTATGCTTCGTAATTGGAGCTCTTTGAAATGTATGGTCCCCATCTGTATTCCATTACCCACCCACCTGTGGGTGGAGGTGCGGCTAGGTGGCTAGGCAGCTAGGAGGCACTGCCTCTGGCCAATGGGAGCTGCGGAGCCAGCGCTGGGGCGGGAACAGCTTGCAGAGCCGCCTATCTGTGCCTCCTCCTAGGAGCAGCAGGACATGGAGCTGCCCGAGATGAGTGCCACCTGTATCCGGAACCCCGCACCTCCTCCTGTGTCTGACGGGCCAAAATCAGATCCTTTAAGTACATAACAAGTTAACATTTATGTACTTAAAAGATCTGTTAGCTCAAGATACAGGAAAAGGATCATAAAACCATTTAAAGCAGCTCAGGATTCAACTGAAAGTCACTTGGCTTAAAGTCAGGCCTTTGTTAGATTTTAATGCAAGAGTGCATGATTCAAATGGAAGCTATTTCCTGATATCATTACCTTGTAACTTCTAAGTAAAAGATAAGATCCTTTATGTACCATATATGCTAGAGATGGGATGGGATGGGAGGAGATTATCCCCTAGCTGCCTATAATTTGGGTAGCCTGCCTTAATTGGCCCAAGAAATGTAGTTTCAAAACTAGCTTCTATTTGGGAGTGATTTGAACACCATAACCCAAACTCCCCCTCCTCCCCCCCGCACACCAAATCACCCATTCCACTGCATTATAAATGTATCACTTGACACTGAGATTGATAATGCCTTCTTACTTTTAGCGCTCATGCTGAAAAAGACTGCTTCTTCTCAAATTATTAAATAAAGCTTATAAAGAATTGTTAGTGTATGCTGATATGGTTTAATCAACCTGTTAATTAGATTAATTTGGTTTGATAATACCCACTTCCTTAATTTTATTTGTTTACCTGAATTATGGTCTGTTAATTTTCCTTAGTTACTTAGTTTAGCATATATATAATTGAAAATCCCTGTGGAATGTCGTGTCCCCCCCCCCCCCCCCCCCCCCAGACAAGACTGATAAAACTTGAGGCAGAGGAGATAGTCTTCTTTGATCCATCTAGTGGTGTTCCATATAACTGCACCTGTTATGCTCACAGCACAAAAATGCTGCATTGTTTGTCAGTTAAGATTTCTTTCAGGGTCTCCAACTACATGCAAGAACAAGGAGGAGAGACTTTGGCAGCTAAGCCCCGTGTGCCGATGGCTGTCACTTGCCTCTCCTATAAGCTTTCACTTGCAGGGCATTGGCTTCTTTGATGTGGTGCTCTTGTTTAGAGGCCCTTAGTTGCATGAGTACCTAACAAAACCTAAAAAGCTAGGAAAATAAAAGTTAATGCTTCTAACAGTATATCCTCCTAACTCTGCATGAGTAGGGATCCCAGCGTTTCAGCACTTTCTTCTTCAAACCTGAGAGTTGGTAGTCACACACTGTGCCTTCTGCACAGTCCTATGTACAGAGTGGAGACCTGGTCTTACAAGAGATAATTGGTAGCATCAGATGACTGTGCCAACCCTTGTTTAGATAGTATAGCCCCTAGTGCATGTAAGTATAATTAATGCTGATTGTAGAAGAGTTTCCCACACCTGTAGTGCTGCGGTAAAGTAATTTTCTTTCCTCGTTAGCAGGTCAAAAGCTTCTAACAAGATATTCCTTAGGCTTTCCTTTTGCTCACTGCCTTAGTTGTCATAGGCTATGTCTATACTTAAAACGCTACAGTGGCACAGCTGCAGCTATGCCACTGTAGCATTTCAGTGTAGAGACCTACTATAGCGACGGGAAGTAATCCATGTCTTCTGTCCATCTAGTGCTGTCTACACCAGATTTTTCACACCCCTGCGGCACGTAGCTATGCTTAATTAACTTTTCAGTGTAGACCAGCCCTGACAGTAGACCAAAAGTGCAGGGAGTGGGATCCATGTCTCAATGTTGCTGCAAGCAGCAGGTTCTGAGGCAAGCATCTCAGAGCTGTGACCTCTGTCAAGGGCTTTTCATAAGGCAGAAGGCCCTGGAATCCTCTAATCAGGCCTTCAGGTGCTTCATCCTAACTTCTTATCTAGTGCCAATGAGCTCTCGAAATGAGTTATACCTTTGGCTCTGACTGAATCAGTCAGATCAAGTGGACTCTCTGGTTACCCTGGCGGGCATTATAAAGATGCTGATCTCTTTCTAGAAGGGGGGAAGGAGGAATAGGAGGGCTTACAAAGGGAGAGACTCCTGGGTTATAGCTGACCCTAGCAAACAACATGATAATAAAGGGGTAGTGTTATTTTTAAATATATTGTCATTGATTTATTGTATGCAGAGTAGATTCTCTCTCTAATGGAATCTGGTAAATACAAAGCTCAGCATGATGGAGTAAATGTTGATTAAAAATATATACATATAATAAATAGAAGTCTTAAACTTTTTCCTTGTAAGCTTTATGGGAGATGTTGGTGTGAAGGAAGGACTTGAATGCGGCAAAGTGGTGGCCTTGCATATCAGTTAAAGAAGGGCATTAGCATGTTTGGCCATGATCTGAAAGAAAACACAGATGGTTTGGGAGAAGAGTATGAATAAGGTTTTTTGGATGATGTCCTTGGCAGAGCAGAGGGAGCATGGAAAAACAAGGAGCACAGTGAAACAATGTAATAAGACAAGGCCTGATAAATAAGGAGGGGCAGTTTTCTCAATGAAAATGCTGCCTGCTAGTGAGGCAGTTTGACTTCAGAACTTTAAACGTGTAGTTCTCACCAGTCATGTTTAAGGAAAGATGTGAAAAATGGGTTTGTTGGACATTGTCTTCCAGTATTCTTCTGAAACAGTTTTTCTTAATACAGAAGTTTAAGAAACAAGGATAGTAAGAAACTAGTACAATAATTCTTTTTTGTTTTAAAGGTATAAACCAATACGCCGGCGAGTAATTTGGCTGATCGGACAATGGATTTCTGTAAAATTCAAATCTGACATGAGACCAATGTTATATGAGGCAATTCGTAACTTGCTTCAAGACCAAGACTTAGTGGTATGTATACATAAATGTAACTATCTTTAAGAAATATTTTGGATTATGTTTCATTTATTTTTTACCTAAATTTAGATGAAGAGTTTTAATTTCCTACACTTTAGAATTGAACAGTATATACTTCAGGAGCAATTCCCAATGTTATGCTGTAATTGAAGGTTGTAAGTTAAAATGTTGCCGGTTTTTTCGGGGGGGAGGGATAGCTCAGTGGTTTGAGCATTGGCCTGCTAAACCCAGGGTTGTGAGTTCAATCCTTGAGGGGGCCACTTGGGGATCTGGGGCAAAATCAGTACTTGGTCCTGCTAGTGAAGGCAGGGGGCTGGACTCGATGACCTTTCAAGGTCCCTTCCAGTTCTAGGAGATGGGATATCTCCATTAATTTCAATTTCTCCATTTTCTAACGTGATGGTTACAGGGCTAGCTGTGCCTCTGTCCCCTTCTTTGACTGTCTGAGTGCACCCCCTCAGGTCTTATGCCTCATGCCCTTACCTTTTCTGGGGAGGAGTTCTGCAGTTCTCCTAGTCTTAGACAGGGTCTCCAAGCTACAGCCCCCTGTGCACCAACTGTGATTGCTCAGCCAGCCTGACTGGGTTCAGCCCCAGCAATTCATCCGGGGACTGTGACCAGTGGTTAACACCATACAGCTTTCTTAAAATGAAAGATTGTTTAATCTTAATGGTAGGAACACAGCAAAGCATAAGAAAATAAAAAAGGATTATAACACAATGAAAGGTCTACGCGCATAGCTATCTTACCTGCAGTCCTAGGTAGGCTTATCTTACCTCTGGAGTCTGGTTCATCTTAACTCAATACTCCAGTCTTTTCTCTTCCGGTATGGTGTCTCTTTAAGTCCAGCCAAGTTCTTTGTTCTCTCCTGTGTCCCTTGAGCCTGGTCAAAGTGGTTTGGCCAGCTCCCAAGGGTAATGAACTTCAAAGTGGTGGTTTGTGCGTTGTCTCAAGTGTTTTATGAGCAGGTGGTTTCAGGAACCATTGTGGTTCTTCCTGCATAGGTGCAGCCAATTCCTGTCTGAATTAATTCTTTATACTCATACAGTAAATAACAATAACAATCAGACAAACATAAATTATGGCAGCAGAAATTATTCACAACCAACAGAAACGACTTGCAATGAAATTCTGATGTTCACTGAATCAGCTTCATTGCTCTTTTTTCTTCAGCAGCAGTGCCCTTCACACTAGATTTCCAGGTTTCTATTTAAGGGAGATATTCCTGTCACATTCTGGGGTGCAATCCAGACCAGTAAGGGGTTGTCACCACGTGCTTCACAACTTTGGGTGCCTCACAATGCTTTGCTGTTGTAGTCCCAACCTGGGCTGCTCACAAACAACCAAAAAGCATGCAGGTCAGATCCTGAGTGTCTGTGTATATTTCCAGTCTGGCCCACCAGACAATCAGCAACACACCAGTTACACTGCCTTCCACCAGCCTTGGTTACTGCTTTCAGGATGACCTCAACACACTCTCAGTCCCAAACTTTCCAAAAACATGTGTTCTGCACTGTCCAGCCCTTTCATCAAAAGTTCAGATACGATCTGTTGCTCCTGTAAGGAGACAATATTCAACGGTTTGCTACTTTAACTGGAGTTACCAAACAGTTCAATTTAAGCATAGCACTGGATTGTCTTAAAGATAAAACAAGTTTATTAACAAAAAAAATAGGATTTTAAATGACTTCAAGTATGAGATTAAGTTAGAAGTGATTACAAGCAAATAAAAGTGAAAACACATCTATAAACCTAAAATTTCATCTGGCAAGTTTTGGTTCAAGGCTTTGTTTAAGATGGCTTTCCCACCCACAATCTTCCAGCGAGATAGTGACTTACCCTTTCGTTAATCGGGATCTCTGCCAGAGGCGCAAAAGTGCTCATGCCTTTGTCTTCTTAGGTGAAAGAGAGAGAACTTGAGGTTCTCTTCCCCTTTCTATTATAGTCCAGTGAATCTTTTAAGTGGATTCATCTGAGGGTTACCCTTCAAAGTAAAGTTTATCCAAGCAGTATAGAAGGCTACATGGAGTCTAGTGGTATAGGAGTCTCCATGCTCTTTCTTTTACCATGCGTGTTTTCTGAAATCCAAATTGTTCTGTTTCCTGCCATCTCCTCCCCTTCTGTCTCGAGGACCATGTTTACTACTTCTAGTTAAACTGAGGTAAACACACCTTCCTTTATGTAGGATAGGCTTGTTTAACAACTTTTATCTAGTCAAGGCTGTATGGTTTTGAACATGTGCTAATAACAACAACATAACAACAAAATTCATAACTTTACATATAATGTTACTATATATGCTTCACTGTGATATTCTTCAACAGTCAGTTATTAGCTTTCAAATGATACCTCATAAGGCATATTTTGTACAAAGATTATTACAATAGTGTGTAAGGTGTAAATTACAGGGGTGCTTTCGGTCACAGTTCCCCACACAGATTAGTTGGCAGTAGATTAGATTATTGTTTTAAATGCCTTCTTTATCTTTGAATTCCTTTTATTTTGATGAGCAGACTTTATTGGGACCATTTCTCTTCTAGTCCTCTCCCACTCGTGGAGGGGCCTAAGGGTATAAAAGAGCAAGTGGCCCCAAATGCCCTTAAGTTCCTTTGACTAACTCAGGGAAATGCAAAGAGTCTACTGCCAGACTGGTGGAAAAGCTGCGTGCCAATCCAGGTCTCCCACTGTACAAGGACATTTTCAGTTACCCCAAAGCACGACTTACATCGAGGCATCCATTGTGGTCTCAATTGCCAGATCGGAATCTGTCAGCAGCAACACTATGGAGCGTTGAGTGGTCAGCTAAAGATGTTTTAGAATTGTTTCCTTGTTGCCGATCTGACCATTCAACCGCCTGGATTTGACCTGCCACGTCACCTTTGGAGACTGCTGAACAGATTCCGAACTGGCCAAAGAATATGCACATCCAACGTCTACTCATGGGGTCTGTGCGATGATCCACATTATCATTTTGGCCTCCGTCAGTCAACGGCACATGTTGTTGACGAGTGTCAACTGACAAGATTTCATGGTGGCCTAAGGGCCCTTCACTGTTCTGATGAAGCTGCTGTTGGGTGGCTCAGCAAGCACTGCAAATGCTAGAATTTAGAAAGTTGCTTTCCTGTCTCATCTATAAACGGTTAGATTGAATTGCAGGATTCATACTAACAGAATTGAATTGAGTAGGTCTATCATTGTATGTTATGTATATTTAATA